TGCCACAGGTGGGTCTCACACGTCAAGGCTGTAGCCACGCTCTTGGCCTCAGCAGGCAGGAGCATCTCTACCTCCCACAACACCTACCTCCTGGCCCCTGGGAGAGATGGCAATGGCTGCCACAAGGAGCCGGACTCAGATAGCCTTGACTCCAGTAAGGGCCACCCCAAGCTAGGGACCTTGCATTGGGAGAGTGGCCCTCAGGGAAGCACCCTTGGTTTTGCAGATTACCAAAACCAAGGTTGGGGGCAGGGGGGACGAGTGGGCACTAGGTCCCTTGGACGGTGACTCAAGGGCCTCAGGGGTCCTGGCTAAGGCACCTGTGCCTGCCACTAACCCCTCTTCCCACCATCCCCTCTCACTGTGGCTGTCCAGTCAGCCTCCCGAGGAGTTCTAGGGAACTTGCTCTGGGACTGACAGTGACCCAGGACACTGGCACCAGATGCCCAGAATGAGGGTTTTATGAAAGAGATTCTGGCTGCCCAGTGCAATCAGGCTCTCAGGAGCTCTGCACAGCAGTCCCAGGGGTTGGTGGGTCGGGGATTCTCTTCCTCAGGAGAATGTGGGCAGCTGACCCAGGGTTACTCACTACTGTGTGCCGAGAGCACCACCCCGATAGCCTGGGGACAGAAGGGGCCAGGTGGCAGCTGGACATATGGAACTGGGATGGGCTCTGGAGCCCTTAGGCCTGCAGCGTTTGCCCAGAGGCTATCCTGGTCCTTCTCTGGGGCCCCCAGCTCCATCCAGGCTGACCTCTCCCAGTGCTGAAATGGAAGACTTCTCAGGCCATCTTTCATGGCACTAGAAGGTAGTCCTGCCTTTTTTTTTTTACCACGTTCTGGGGGTGGGATCTCAAAGCACCACTCACTGCATAAAAGGACCGGCATCCTGCCCTCAGCAGCCCCGACCAACCAGCTCTGTCCCTTCCACTTTGGTGTCTCTTCACCCCATTGACCATGTCTAGGCCTGTGGCCTTAAGGATTGATGGTTTCCACATTCACATCTCCAGTCAGACCTTTCTCTGAACCCTGGCCTCACGTAGCCAACTGCTACCTGGGATACATCCTTTGTCTGGCAGATGTGTTAACATGCCTAGACCAAGTTCACACCTCCCCCCCCGACCTATCTACCCCACCTCGACAAGTGGACCCTCTCCTTCCCAGGCTCTTTTCTCACCCGCCCCCCAATCTGTCAGCTAATGTTCTGCTGCCCTCCCTTCAGACTAAAACTAGACACCCCCTCCCACCAACTCTGTGCCTACTGTCCCTGCAACCAGATTGTTGGTACAAACACCCTGTCCCAAGTTGCCCCCGCTCTGCAGCCAGATGCCTCTAGGCTTCTCACTGCTCCCACCCCTCATTGCCCACGGCTCAGCCTCACTCCCTTTTCACCTCCCCGCCTCTTACACATGGAGCAGCAGCTGCCCAAACTCACTCCTGCTTTCTTCCTCCCCTCCCAACCTGCCCCCAGCTTGATAAGATTCTTTCCTGTCACTCCCCGTGTCTTACTCTCAACTCTGCTCCTGTGCCCCACACAGTGCCTGGCACACAGTGGGCATCCCCTGAAGAGATGTGGGTCAGATGCCCTGCAGGAAGTGTGAGGGAGTCCTCAGGTGGGAAAAGCCCTGCTTTTGGTTGTTACCGTGGGCCTGATTATGTGTTCTGTGACCTGTTGGACAAGATCAGTGAAAGAAATTAACCTTGCAAGTCAATTTGAGTTCACATCCCCGAGGCTGCTAGGGGTTGGGACAGGCTCTGTTCTCCCAAGGCTGAACCTGGAGGGGGGAAGATGGCTTCTCAGGACTCCCCAGGCAACACCCACATTTCTTTGCTCAGGAAAGTCCTGTAAACTTGCACAGACATCCAGCACAAGGCTTGAGGTTTGTCAGAGGGATACTGGTAGCTAGGGTCTGGGCCCCAGGAAGGGCTGGGGACCAGGCCCTAAACTGGGCAGGAGTCAACCTAGCTGGGTGGAGGAGAAGGCTTGAAGCTGGTACCTGGGTTCAAATCCCAGTTCTGCGCCCCCTGGCTCTGTGGGCTTGGGAAGGGCCTCTGTGTTCACTGTCCTTACTTGTGTGAAATAGAGATAATAAAAGTACCTGTGTGTCCTGGGGTGGCTGCAGGAATGATTGTAGAAGGGTGCCTGGAGGGGGCCTGGCACACAGGAAGCATTTGTTGGCCTCAGGGCCTGCTCGTTGGCATGACTCGGGGGCCTGTGAGGCAGACCTACCTCCCCTGGGTGTGACCCCCAGGGTTATGAGACCAAACTGGGTTGGAGTTTCCTCCTCTGGTCTTCTATGCTGACCAAGTGCCAAGACGGCAGGCAACTGCAGGCCCCGATGCACCCTGAAGAAGGGGCTTATGCCGCAGAGGATGAGGCTCACCTCAAGAGGACACTCCCTACACGAGAGGTAAACCCCCAGTGTTGCCTGTGCAGACTGCAGCCTCAGAACCTTGCAGGACCCATTCTCCAACCTGTGCCCACTGGGAAGAGGATGTGTGAGGGGTCCCCACAGCCCTTGTGGTATGGGCAGCAGGGGGACCCTGCAGCAGGGAGACCTAGCTAGGATGGGGCACCGTATGAGGGCCCTGAGCCCAGGCAACCCTGGTCAGCTCCACCATTGCAGGGCAGTAGGCTCTCCCAACCCACACACGGTCTCCCTGCAGCCTCAGGGAAAATGCAGGCTTACTTTTACAGAAATCCAGATTTTTGTGTAAAATCTCTATTTTTGTCTCTATCTTAAATAGATTTTGAATGTTGGCAGCCAATTTAAGCTTTTGAGACTATTATACAGGACGAATCAGATTCACAGGCCAGATACAACTTTATTTACAGAAATGGGATCAGGTTCTACCTAAGATCCCATCTTACCTCTTCACTTATGCCCAGATGTGCCTCACAGGCTCTACCTCCTTTGATGGAAAAGCCACAGAAGGCCCCGTGGTAAAGTTATAGCCATAGGTCTTTGAGGACAGCCTGGATTGTTCCACAGAGTGCTGAAGACGTCTCCAGAGGTGTGGTCTACAGGGACAGACAAGAGACAGGAGGGGTGCATCCTCCAACCCATGCCCAGAGCTGCAGAATAGTGCCTGCTCAGTCAACATGGGCGTTGGATTCTGTGTCTTTTGTCACAGACTTTATCAGCCCCATCCTTTTCTGATCTTCTCTGGATTTAAATGTGATGTGAGGGGCTTCGTTAAGAGAAGTGGTTTTCAACTAAGGATCTGTATCCATTAAGCATGCTCAGGACTGCAGGAAACCAGACACCTGACTCCCTGTGGCTTAAACAGTTAGTTTTTTGCTCCCATAACCAGCACACAGAGGTGAGTGGATCTGGCATCAATCTGTCTTCTCTGTCACTCACAGTATGCTAACGGCTTTTTCCCTATAGCCTTGTCTCCTCGTAGTTGCAAGATGGCTGTCACAGTGCCAGTCAGCTGTGTTTACAAAGTTAGGAGGGTGCTGAAGCTTCCTCACCTGCTAACATAAGGCTTCCCCTCACCTGTCTTTAGTCAGAACTGGGTCACATGCACACCTGTAGACCAATCGCTAACAAAAGGGATAGAATTGCTGGGCTTGCCCTAGCCCAATCATGGCTTCATGTGCTCCACTCCACCCAACGAAATCTGGGTTCTAACAACCGAGGAAGAAGGGGCAAGTGACTGTGTTGCCTCCCGGCTGGCACTTCAGAACATCTCCATCCTCTGAGTTTATGTGTAAGACTATGGGCAAAGAGCCGGGCTTGGTGGCTCAGCCGTAATCCCACGCCTTTGGGAGGCTGAGGTGAGTGGATTACCTGAGCCCGCGGGTTCGAGACCCACCTGGGCAACTTGGTGAGACCTCATCTCTACAATAAATCAAAAAATCAGCCGGGCATGGTAGCACATGTCTGTAATTCCAGCTACTTGGAAGGCTGAGGCAGAAGGATCGCCGGAGCCCAGCAGGTCGAGGTGGCGGTGGCCGGGAGCTGCCACTGCACTCCAGTCTGGGCAACAGAGTGAGACTCCAACTCAAAAAAAAAAAAAAACTGTGGGCAAGAAGCGTGAGTTTTTGTAAAGAGTGGATCCATGGGTTTTATCAAACCATCTTTCCTTTTTCTTTTTGGTTCAAAATGAAAATATATTTATTATTTTTCTTACCACTTCCCAGAGATAACTAGCATATTAACTTAGCCTTTTCTCCACGAATATGCAGTTTTGTGCAAAGAGGACAAACGCATGGCTGTACACCCTCAGGGTCCAGCTTGCTGGGGAAACTGGGTAAAGCCACAGCTGCATTCGTGACCTGTCCTCACGCCACCGTGTGGAGGGCCAGCGGCCACACTACAGGCCGTCCATACTCACGGGAACGACAGTATCAAATCTGAGTTTTGTGTGCACAGGCCTCTCTCACATCAGTGCACAGGGACCCTCCTCCTCTGCGGCCTCAGAGCGTTCACGCCATGGATGGCTTAACAGACGTCCATGTTCACTCCTGGCTAGCCATTACACACACTTGTGCAGACTGGCCCATTTATTTCCTGGCACAAATCCCAGAGGCAGAATGACCGGATCTTTTAGACAGTAATGCCAGCTGCCGGTGCCCTCTAGACAGGCAACCCCAATTCTGTGAGCCCCTTCCTCTGCCCTCACCCCAATCAGAGAGACAAAGGGAGATGCTACAAGGCACTGTGCCACAGGGATATCATCAAGGGTAGAAGCCACTCTGCCCTCTGCCACTCACCCTCCAACACACCCTAAGCTCCATGTGTTAAGGGGCTGGTCTTGGACTCTGCTTTTTTGACTTTCCTGACTTGTCAGCGGTTTTAACTTTGGTAAATAATTTGAGATGATGGGTCCTCCTGGACCTCGGGTCAGAGGACAACAGGAGACCCAAGGTGTGTGTGAGAGATGCCCTGTGAGACCCTCTGTGTGTGGGTGCCTAGAGACAGCCCCACCTTGGAGTCCCCAACCCACCTGCCCCTCCCCCATCCAGCTACTCCCGTCCCCCTCCCCGTGCAGGTGGAGCAGATCCTGGCGGAGTTCCAGTTGCAGGAGGAGGACCTGAAAAAGGTGATGAGGCGGATGCAGAAGGAGATGGACCGAGGCCTGAGGCTGGAGACCCACGAGGAGGCCAGTGTGAAGATGCTGCCCACCTATGTGCGGTCCACCCCAGAAGGCTCAGGTATGAAAGGGACAGGACCCGCGTGGGAAATGGCTCCTCATCCCAGAAGAGGTAACCGTGGACCACGCCCCAGATGGGAGGAACATGCCAGGCACTTCCAGACTCGGCTGTTCACAGCCACTCTGAGACAGGATCCCCTGGGGAATGATGATGTCCCCAAAATGCTGGGTGGTTCCCACTGTTGGCTCCTCTGGCCCAGCCCTGGGCACTCAGTCCCACCCTGGAGCCAGCAAGTCACAGAAAAATGACTTTTTTCATCCCCCTGCTCCCATGGTCACTTAGGAGACCCCTCACCCAGTCCTGAGTCCAGGCCATTACCTAGATCTTCAGTTGGTCCCTGGCCTCGGGGTGACTCAGTCTGTCTTTTCCCCAGTTTGCCTTTGATTCCGTCTGCAGTTTGCTCTGGTGTCCCCTAGATGTCTGGCATTGGCAGCCCCTCCTCCAGCTCCCTTGTTCTCCTTGTGCCTTCCCCTCCCCCCTCTGGACTTGGGAGTTGGCCACCAAAGTCCTCCCCAGCCCAGGGCCTGCTGGTCAGTGCCCATAAGGCCGATGTTCTTCTGTCTGTGCCTGCAGAAGTCGGGGACTTCCTCTCCCTGGACCTAGGTGGCACCAACTTCAGAGTGATGCTGGTGAAGGTGGGAGAGGGCGAGGGGGGACAGTGGAGCGTGAAGACCAAGCACCAGATGTACTCCATCCCTGAGGACGCCATGACTGGCACTGCTGAGATGGTGAGCAGCTCAGGAGGTCAGAGACAGGGTGTGGGGGTCAAGACCATCCAGGATCTCAGGCTAGTCCTGACAGGAGGTCCTACCCATCCACCAGGGGCTGTGGGCAGAAGGATAAGCCCGCCACAAAGGGCCAGAAAGACGGCTCAGAGGCCTAGATGGGTAGGCACTGGGCATGACCCGAGTTCCATAGTCATCATCTGGCCAGCAGTTGGAGGGGAACAGGCTGAGGAGGAGTCAGTGGCAGGAGGAACTGCAGCCAACTGCACCCTGTCCAGTTTCCCAGGGGAAAAGCCGATGTGTAAGAACAGAAATGTGCCTGTCTGGCCTCATGTGGCCCATATAGTCCACCCCAGCTCATAGGCTGCCCCTTGCCCTCCATCAGTGTACACACAAACTGGGTAACAGCAACCACAATGTCTGTCCAGGCAGCAAGGACCCCTGACCATGGGAAGGACTGGGCGGTGAAGAAGGGCACAGAAATAGAACGAGCCCTGGAAGGAGGCAGGCAAGGTCAGGCACCTGGCTGGGGCCAATTTCCCACGGGCAGAGTTCCAAGGCAGGAGGTTGCCTGTGGCCACCCAGCCCTCCCCACACCTGCAGCTCGCTGGTCTGTCCGTGGTGCTGGGCACGAATCAAAGTAGTGGGGATAGTAAGGGTACCTCCCTGGGCCACAGCATCCAGCAGTGAACTTGCTCAATCAGCAGAGCACTCAGCAGTGCCCAATTCTGTGGACAGGCCTGTGCAAGGGTGGTGGGGGCTGGTCTTCAGGGTTGGGGAGGCCAGGACACCTGGAAGTAGTAAGGGAGACTTTGGGTGCTGGAGACAGAAATTGCAGTGCCTCCATCTGGAGCTCAGGAACAGCTGGCCAGGCCTGAGGCTGGACCTCACTGGGTCCAGCTGGGAAGGCTAGGCAGACAGAGCATAGCCAGGCTGGGGAACAGCCTGTCCTGTGTCATCCTGTCCCAGGGGCTGCCATCAGCAGGGTTCTGGCATCAGAGGAGGCTCAGGGCCTGAGTCCCAACAAGTAGTGGCCTTAGAGGAGAGAGGAACAGTGGACAGGCCTAGCAGTCAGTGGCAGATGTAGAGGCCAGGGCCTCCTTGGGTGTGGTGGCTCAGTACCCCCAGAGGAACACCTTGGCAAGAGAACCCAGGGAAGACGGCCTGCCAGTCACCCCCTGTAGCCTGGCAGCCACCTGGGTGTGCATCTTCCAGCTCTTCGACTACATCTCCGAGTGCATCTCCGACTTCCTGGACAAGCATCAGATGAAGCACAAGAAACTGCCCCTGGGCTTCACCTTCTCCTTTCCCGTGAGGCACGAAGACATCGACAAGGTGGGCCAGGTGAAGGGACGGAAGGCAGATGAATGGATGGATATGCACCCCAGAGGACCTCTGCTTCATGCTGCCTTCAAATGCAGCCTCACTCCCCTTGTGGGGAAAGAGCCCAAACCCTGAAGGGAGATCTGGATTCAAATTGTGACCCAGTCACTTACTGTGAGGCTTTGGAAAATAAGCATACTATTAGCTGATTCTTGCTATGTACTCTAAGGCTCCCCACAGCCCTGTGAGACACATACTATGATCACCCTATTACTGTGAGAAATGGCAACTGGCAGCTGAGGGGGGCTCGAACTCAGGCAGCTGGGCTCCAGCTCACCCATAGGCCATGGCAATACCACACTGCCTCTGCGTAAGTCAGAAATGTGAAGAGACTGAGAATCTGCCCCACTTACAAGCTAGCAAGGCAGCCTGCCGGTTACAGCTACACACATACACACACACACACACACACACACACACACACACACACACACACACACACACAAATGCGCACATGGGTGCGCACACACACGTAAAGTATGTGTGTCCATGCATAAAACATGAGACCTCTGGGTCACAGCCAAGGCCAGATCTTCACTCGTGGCAAAAACAGCAGCTGGAGCAGCATCTCGTGTGGTTTTCCAAGCCCCAGTCCCCGAAGAGATACAGCAAGGGCCAGGTGGCACCTTCGTATGCAGTGGGATTCATTACAGGAAAGGAACCCCAATCTTATGTAGAGCTGTTCCCCTTGGGCCCTGTCTGCTCTGGGATGTGTAATACAAACATTGTCAAATTGCCTGGGACTCAGCCCTGCAGAAATATGAGATACTCACGAATAATCGACCCCAACACCTCTCAAAGTTCTGGAGCTGCTCTGAGCCCATTTCTTCAGCTACCAAGTGGAGTGCATATCCCTATGACCCTAGGCAGGAGCTTGTGAAGGGCCGAGGTGCTCTACCCCCAGCATGCCTCAGCAGCCATGAGGCCTTGCTCTTCCCACAGGGCATCCTTCTCAACTGGACCAAAGGTTTCAAGGCCTCGGGAGCAGAAGGGAACAATGTCGTGGGGCTTCTGAGAGACGCCATCAAACGGAGAGGGGTAAGGAGGCACCTGCACCCGCCCAGGGGGCTGCCCCTGGGGCCCCCACCCCAGCACTGTCGGCCTTTCTCCTTGGCCCCCAACACTGCAGCCTCTGTGCTTCTTGGCAGGACTTTGAAATGGATGTGGTGGCAATGGTGAATGACACAGTGGCCACAATGATCTCCTGCTACTACGAAGACCGCCAGTGCGAGGTCGGCATGATTGTGGGTAAGGGCTCCTTGCGCCCCTTCCCCTTCCAGGTTCCCTGTGTACAGCAGGCTGCACGGGGGTCCTGTGGGGTGAGGGCCAGATACTCAACAGCCGGTGACGTCAGAGCAGGGCCTGTTACTGGAGTCCAGGTGATCTCGGGTGTAGAGAGGCAGGCCAATAGAAAGCACTGCAATCCTCTGATGCTGCATTACCACATCAGATGGTACGCCAGCTGCACATCCGCCTGGCCCATCAGGATTAGATTAAAACACTTTATCTGGTAAATTGACCAACTGGACAGATTTGTCCAAGTGGAAGAGGATAAGCGAAAGTGGCGTCATCCCGTCTTGGATGGTCTTATCGTGGGCCTGCCCCTGCCCAGAATGAAGGCAGGTCCCGGGAGAGGGAACAGAAGCCCTCTCCTCCCAGCAGAAGGGTCTTCCACACCAACCACGAGCCTATCTCAGGAGTTCCTGAGGTCATTATAATGAACATTTACTGAAGTGCCATCCAGTTGGATCAGTGATCTGCTGTGAACACAGGTATATGGTATTTCTCTGGACTTTCCGGGCCCTGGTTACCCAGAAAGTCAGCGTTTAAGTTATTTGCTTCCATAGACCCATCAGAGCCAACTCTGAAAGGTTATGTATTTGTGTTCTTAGATACCCAACTTTAATTATATCCCCCCAAAATGTTTTATATATGTTATATATATGTATACACCTGTATACATGTAACATTATAAACATATATATGTTTATAATATTAATATATCTTCTAAGCTCCAGCCTGAAATTGCTTTGTCACGCTTCTTGTTTCCTAACTTCTCTTCCATTCTCACCTTTCAGAAGAAAAGTCCAACATCTAAATGTGAGCCCCAGTTATCCCTGGCTGTGCTGCCCCCCACCCTCTTGGCCTTCTCCTCCAGAGTTGTCTGGAGCACCCCAAGACACCCCAACATGAATTCTCACCAGATCAAGCTGCAGTCATATGGCTCAGGCACACCCCTCCAAGGGCAGAGGTGGCCAAGATGGCCCAGGCACACATCTGCCCCACCAACACTCTTGGTGACTCTGCTCAGTGTTTAGAAACATGTTTATAACAATTACCAAGATCTAAAAATTAGGAGAATTCACATCAAAGTCTGGATTCTGTTTGTTCACACAAAACTGGAAGGCTGGTCCTGATTCCTACACAACAGCTCAACTGATCAGCATGAATTGCTGTTCCTGGTGGCAGGGGTGTGCATCCACATAAGTGCGCTCACTGATGCTCTGCTTCACCATTTGAAACTGTTACTAACAATGAACAAATGACTCCACATAATCACTCTGCACAGGGCCGAGCAAATTACAAATTCCATACCCCGTCCTGCCTGCAGCAGCCTCTGGACTGCTCCTGAGGGCTCACACCATGCTTTACTCACTTTTTTGTGCCCTCTAAACACAGCTCAGGACAGAGAAGCTCAAACACATGCATGGAAAATGTCAGAAAACAAGGGTGGACAGAGACAAAATAACATTCCTCACCCATCACTTTGATACACACTGTTTCCCTCAATCTTCCCAGTGACCCAGCTACAGGCAAGAGAGGTGTCACTGTCCCCTCTCAGGAAGAGGACAGCCTAGAGAGCTGGCCCATGTACCCTGCCCCAGTCACAGAGCCAACCCAGGTGTGTTCAGCCCCAGAAAGAACCACGTTTCCATTGTTTCAAGCAAGGCAGAGATGGGGGTCAGGGGGGCGCAGCCTCCTGCAGGCAGGAACCAGGCCCTACTGGGGGACTCCCTGGGGAAGTGCAGCTCCCGATGCCCGGTGTGGGCTGATGTCACTCCCCACTTCCCCCAGGCACAGGCTGCAACGCCTGCTACATGGAGGAGATGCAGAACGTGGAGCTGGTGGAGGGGGATGAGGGCCGCATGTGTGTCAACACCGAGTGGGGCGCCTTCGGGGACTCTGGCGAGCTGGATGAGTTCCTGCTGGAGTATGACCGTCTGGTGGACGAGAGCTCTGCGAACCCCGGTCAGCAGCTGTAAGGACGCCCCCCGCCCCCCCAGCCCAGGCCCTGGGCGCTCTGGCACAGCAGCAGATGGAAGCCTGGCCACCGCAGATAATGGGCTTGTTTTTAAACAGCTCTGGGGAAAAGCAAACTGACAATCCTTTTGTAAGCTCCGTCTTTTCAGCTCAGTCATAACCTGTCCCTGTGAAATGTGAAGGATTAATCCAAGGCTGTAGTTAGGTAGGCCCAGACCTCCTCCCTTCCCACAGCTGATCTTGGGCACAGAGAAGGCTCTGAGATGCCCCTGGCAAGGTTTCTGGATTTAACCCAGAGTCCCCCAAAGCACACCTTTGTCCACAGAATGAATGTTAGTCTTTTGTGGAATGCTGTGGGTTGGCAGACAGCTTGGAAACCACCTTGGCACATTATTCATCATGGCTACCGTTTGTTAGCCGCCTACTATGCTCTTGGCCATGCTAATTACTTTATTAGCCTTGGCTGTGATGTTCACAGGTCGGTAGTATTAAGTGTATTTCAGAGATGAAAATACAGAGGTTCACAGGTTAAGCAAGAAAGTGTCAGCACGGTGGTGTGCACCTCAGGCTGGACACTGACCTTCTGAGCCTGTTTCCCCAGGTAACTGAAAACAGCAGCCCTGACACTGGCTATAAGAGGACTAAAGTTATAGGCCACATGCTCAGTGCAGGGCGCCTTAAGAGGAAGGTTGCAGAAGGACTGGGCTGGGTGTTTGGACTTTCTGTCCCTTTCTTGCACTGGACCCAGCAGCAGGTCAGAGGTGCTCCAATGACTGAGCTGAAGGCGCATGATCCTTATCCCTGAAGTTTCTAAAGCCCCAATTTATAAATGAGGGAAAACAGGTGAATTCAGGTCCTCGGATAATGGGGAGGGAGGAGGGAAAGGGGGAGGAAAAAAAAAATCACGGTGCCCCACGTGACCACCTCCCGACCGCAATGTGGGGGGAATGGGGCCGGCTCCTGGCCCTCGCCCCGTGCGTGGAGCCCTCCCCTGGGGGCCTGCTGACATAACCTGGCCGCCCCGTGTCCAGGTACGAGAAACTCATAGGCGGCAAGTACATGGGCGAGTTGGTGCGTCTCGTGCTACTCAGGCTTGTGGACGAGAACCTGCTCTTCCACGGCGAGGCCTCCGAGCAGCTGCGCACGCGCGGCGCCTTCGAGACGCGCTTCGTGTCGCAGGTGGAGAGGTGCGTGGATGGGAGTCACGGAGGGGGCTGGTGGAGGGGGCTGGTGGAGGGGGCGGGCGGAGGGAGAGGAGGGAGGGGTGGGGTAGAAAGAATGCAGGGGGACAGCGGACCGTGTCCCAGGGAAAGTGGAGTTCCGGGGCCGGGAGGGGGAAAGGCGGGGGGGGGGGGGGGGCGGTTAGTGGGTTGGCCAGGCGAGACTCAGGGGACGGGGGCGAGTCCAGGGGCAGGAGGCAGGGTCCGGGATGGGCACGCAAAAGGCAGGGGGCCTTAGCGAGCCCGCGTCTGGCCAGCAGGCCCCATCCGCATGTCCCATCCGTGGCTCCCTATCCGCCGTGGACACCACCTCGCTTCATCCACTCACAACCTCGAGGTGCGGCACGGCTGGTAACACACTTAGAGCAGAGACCCGGGGCTTAGAGGAGTACTACTGACCAGGTTACTGCTGGTCCCTGGCGGAACCAGGACCCGCTCCCTTCTGGGGCCCAAACCCCAAAGCTTTGGCAGGGTGACGTGAGCAGCGGCGCCCCCATGTTTCCGGGGAGGGGCCTCGGCTCAGCCAAGGAAAGAAGCCACCGCTGGGGGACAGCCGGCCGGGCCCCTCCCTGGAGTGGCGGAGGCCGCCGCTAGGAGAGACGGGCTGGCGGGGCGACCCCCAGCGACCCGCCCTACCTCTTCCCGCCCCCCAGCGACTCGGGGGACCGCAAGCAGATCCACAACATCCTGAGCACGCTGGGCCTGCGACCCTCGGCCACGGACTGCGACATCGTGCGCCGCGCCTGCGAGAGCGTGTCTACGCGCGCCGCGCACATGTGCTCGGCGGGGCTGGCTGGCGTCATCAACCGCATGCGCGAGCGCCGCAGCGAGGACGTGATGCGCATCACCGTGGGCGTGGACGGCTCCGTGTACAAGCTGCACCCCAGGTGAGCCCTCGCGGCCGCTCCGCCCCTCCCCGCCCACTCTCTCCCCACGTAGACAGGCCGACGGGCGCGGTCTGAGGTTCCTTGTGGTTCCCAGCTCCAGCAGTTCGCGATCGTCTTCTCATCCGTCCCCCTCGGCCTCGCTGCCGGGCAAGGGGCGGCTGCGTTCGGGGTGCCGCCTAAGGGATACGGTGGATGGGAAGGGGTGAGGTCTGCGAGGCGGGGAGGAGGGACGGCAGCGCTGCTTCCCCTCTGCCTAGCTTCAAGGAGCGGTTCCACGCCAGCGTGCGCAGGCTGACGCCCAGCTGCGAGATCACCTTCATCGAGTCAGAGGAGGGCAGCGGCCGTGGCGCGGCCTTGGTCTCGGCAGTGGCCTGTAAGAAGGCCTGCATGCTGAGCCAGTGAGAGCAGAAACCTCGAAAGCAGGGAGGAGGCCACAGCTCCACGGGACGCAGTCTCCACGGGGACAGGGCTCCACGGGGACATTGCTCCCCAGAGGTGCTCCCAGCCTGGCCAGGATAGGGACCCTGGCCTTGTACGGTCCCTGGATGTCTCCCATCCCACTGGGGAACGGAGCAGGCCTCTTCTCTCAGAGCTGGTCAGTGGGACAGCCCTAAGGCCCTAACTGTGGCGGAGGAGGGCTGGGAGGAGCGGGAGCAGAGACTCCCAAAGCCCCTCACCTTTCTTGCTGTAATCAACTACCCAGAAGGGAGTTGCTCACTCAGGACTTTGTTGCTTTCCACACTGCCTGCCTCTTAGAGTCGTCAGCCTGGCCTGGGCCCTCCCTGACTCTGGGAAGGAGGCACCCTCTGGACTCTGCTGTGGCTTGACTTCCCTGGGAACTCATCCTGTGTGGGGAGGCAGCCCCAGCAGCTTGGCCAGACCTAGACCTGAGCCCACAGGGAGCCAGTGCTGCTGATCACCTCGGGCCTGGCCACTGTCTTGCCGGAGGCTTAGGAGGCCCAGGGAGCCCAGGGAGGGTTCCATGGAGGAGATGTCCCAAGCTGTGGATATACCCGGAGACCTTTTCGCTCCCATACCCCCATCCCTGAGTGGTTTGTGGCTCTGGGACAGACTCTTACAGTAGGTGAAGAGACAGAGCCCCCAAGCCCCTGCCCACAAGGCCCACGGGGAAGAGGGCCAGCCCTGCATCTTCGGCTCCCACAGTGCTGGTCCAGGAAGAAACCCCGAGCAGCATTTGGTCCGCCCCCGAGGGAACATCCAGGTCCTCTCGTCCTCACCAACCCTCCCACAAACCATGACACCCTCTCCTTGCCCAAGCTGAGACTGTGTGGGTTTTTTAATTAAAAGTTTTTAATGTTTTAAACATGGCCTGTTCACTGTTTTTTGACCCCTGCACATAAGGACTGTGAGGACAGTCTGTAAAGACATGGTCACACACACACAGACACTTCCGTAGGCTGAGGTGTATCTCAGCCTTTCCACTCTAGCCTGCTGCGCCTAGGGCAGGGTGAAGGGTGACCGACCAGGCTGTAGGAACAGGAATGGAATGGCATGGAGTCCCTGGCCTGGGCTTCTGCTTGCCTGCCCATGAAACTTGTGGAGGGAGTACTAGACCAGGTGCTGCTCTTGGTGTGGGGGATGAGGCTGGTTCTGCTACAGGTTGGTCTCAGTGGGGACCTGTCCCCCAGAGCCACTTAGATTATGACAGTGAGTGGGGAGCCAGGGATATAAGATGTCACAGGATTTCTGAGTTCCCTCCACATGCTCCTGTGGGTGGAATGCCTAAATAGAGTTAGTCAAACATAGGGCCTAATGCCATCTATGCAGCATTAACACAGTTACATATAAACACATACTTGTATGACTTTAATGCACATTCATTTTTTTGATGAGGGAAACTACCCAGCCAATCAGGAACAATTGTGTTTTGTTTTGTTTTTAACTTAGACCAAAGTTGTGATTCTGGGAAAAGTCACATCCCACTTCAGAGATCCTCTCGTTTTCTGATACTTCTCATGTGGAATTGCCTCTGACCTTCCTCCTCCCCTTGAGTCTAATCATTGGCTATAAGCTGGTGCGAGCATCCGATTGCTTCATTATCGGTCCTGTTGTACTTGTGGTCAGGTGTTTGCATATTGGAACACATCTTAACATAAGTTGCTTTCTGTTTCTTTTTTCAGTTTAAGAAATTGTATTGATGTTTTAAACTTCTTTGTGTAGGTAGATTATGTATCTGAATTGAAATGAGTGAATTAAAATAAATAAATTTCTTTTCCAGAGAGTAAAGGCAGTATCCTAAAATGCTTGTTATATCAAAAGGACATTGAGTCTGTCAGATGAGAGTCACTACCAGCCAGCCGCTGACAGATGTGGGCAACCCTGGGAGCTCCCCTGTTTCCCCAGCACTTGTGCTGTGCCCTGGCTCTGGAACAGCAGAGGGTGCCCAGGCCCTCACTCTGCCAGCATTTGGCACCACCCAAGGGGTCCTGTGACCCACTTTCATGGGGATCTTAGGGATAAAAAGCTTCATGGCCAGGCTCAGTGCCTCAGCCTGTAATCCCAGTGCTTTGGAAGGCTGAGGTGAGTGGATTGTCCAAGCTTGCGGTTTGAGACCAGCCCAGGAAATTTGGCAAGACTTCGTCTCTACAATAAATCAAAAATTAGCCGGGCGTGGTAGCGCGCACCTGTAGTTCCAGCTACTTGGAAGGCTGAGGCGGAAGGATCACCAGAGCCCAGCAGGTCAACGCTAGGGTGGCAGTGAGTGTGCTACTGCACTCCAACCTGGGCAACGGTGTGAGACTCCAACTCAAAAAAAAAAAATTCGTATAAAACAGCATCACACAGGTCTGCCCATCAGCTGGGGTGTGTTATGCACCAGGTCCTTTGGATATAGATGGTGACCAGGCTGGATGCCCTGGAACTACACACACATCTGCCACCGGGCACATGGGAAAGTGTCAGCTCAGTGGGGGATGGCAGGGAGAGCTTTTCAAAGGAAGAGGAGTTGAGATGGGGCTTGAAAGACGGCAAGGCTCAAAACAGCAGAGGTAGAAATGTCCACAGAGAGGCACTCCAGGCAGTGCAGACTGCACACAGGGCAGCTGAAGAATTCCTTTCACCTTCCAGAATTACCCCAAAGCCAAGCAAAGTGATCTGCTTGGGATCACAGCCAGCTCAGAGCCACCTTCTGCTTCTTGGTTAGAAGGGCAAGAGGTCACAGCCTATGGTCTTCATGAAAACCTCTAGGACTCCCTCAGGCCAGTGACGTCCTCAGAACACCCACAGCCCTCCCAAGCCCAGCTGCGGCCCTGGGCTGGCCTCCCTCTTGCATTGGCTGAAGTTCTGACTGGACCTGCAGGAGAGATGGTCAGATGGGAGGTAACTGGGACCCTTCATTCAGCATGGAGAGTGGTGAGAGCTTCAAGCCTGCTCCGCTCAGAGGAGATATTGCACCTGGCCCTGCTGGGATGGGTAGACACTGGGATGTTACACGTCAGGGACATGAAGGTCACCAGGGACGTGGCTGGAATCTGCTGGGGCCCTCATCCTTCCCCAGCTCAGGAGGGAGCTGCCAAGTTTGGGCCTGTCGTCCGCTCCTCTCCTTATTTGGACCTCCAGGTGATAAGGCTGAGACATAAAGGAAGGCTGGGTCCTGAGACAACGACGACAGCAGCCAGACCACTGCAGGGAGAGAATGGTGAGTACCTGCTGGGGAGGAGACGCCAGCAGCCTCCTAGGTGCTGGCCTTTGAACCGGGAGGATAGAACTCTTATGTACCCACACTGGCCAGAGAGGTGGTCTCCAGGGATAGGTGAGGACCCTGACCCAGGCTCTCCTGAGAATGCTCCTGGACTGTGTGTGGGTGAGGAGGAGAGAATTTGGAGAGCTGAGGAGAAAACTCCTCCCTGCCTACTGTGTTGCAGGCAAGCAGGAAGGCCGGGACGCGGGGCAAGGCTGCAGCCACCAAGCAGGCCCATCGTGGCTCTTCCAATGTCTTTTCCATGTTCGAACAAGCCCAGATCCAGGAATTCAAGGAAGTGAGTGTCCCACCCCATCTCGCATACACACCTCTTCCACCCTAACCTTGTTCCTCATACCACGCAGGACTGTCCCCTACTTCCTGCCTACCTTAGGGTGGGAGGCTGCTCCCACCTTAAGACCCCCCCACCCCCGCAGGCCTTCAGCTGCATTGACCAGAATCGTGATGGCATCATCTGCAAGTCGGACCTGAGGGAAACCTACTCCCAGCTAGGTGGGTGTGCCTCCCACCCAGCCCTGCCCGGCTTATCCCAGGGGTACCGCTCAGAGTTCCTGGCAGGTGGGAGTGGCTGGGAGAGGACAGTGTCCCTGCCCCCCCTTCTTTCACTCCTCCCCATCTCACCACACTGCCCTTCCCCCTCTTGTCACACCTCCCTCACCCTGAGCCACCTCTGCCTCTCCACCCACTGTGGCCAGGAAGGAGGGAGGGCATCGTGGGCCCTTCTCAGGGACACCCAGGGTCCTTGTATGCATTCATATCCCATCCCTGCCAGGGAAAGTGAGTGTCCCAGAGGAGGAGCTGGATGCCATGCTGCAAGAGGGGAAGGGCCCCATCAACTTCACCGTCTTCCTCACACTCTTTGGGGAGAAGCTCAACGGTGAGCCTGGGCAGAGCTGGCCTCCCTTGGCCAGGTGGCGAGCCTGAACCTTGCCTGAAACCCACCTAAACCTTGCCTAAGCCCTGCCTGAACCCCTCCTGAACCATACCCAAACTCCCCTCCGGACCCTACCTAGACCCTGCCTGAACCATACCCAACACCCCTCCGTCCCACCTGGACCTTGCCTGGACCCTACCTAACCACGGCCCTTCCAAAGGATGCATTGCCCACCCCACACGTCCTCTGCCCCAGAATCCCATGGGCACTGGTCACCCCAGTACTGGCTTAGGCCCTGCAAATGTGTCTTCACCCTCCACCCCCAAAGCCAAATCTCCTAGCCAGGGATGCCTACCTCAGGAGGATGGCCATCCCCAGCCCCCGTGAGGCCTGAGAAATACCTTATATTGGGGAATGTTCCTCTACCTCTTCTGGGATGTGGAGAGCTCCCCATGTGCCCCAGGTTCCTCCTGGGTGGGACCTGGGAGGCTGGAGATGTGGGCACTCACCTGGCTGCTGTGACCCCCCAGGGACAGACCCTGAGGAAGCCATCCTGAGTGCCTTCCGCATATTTGACCCCAGCGGCCAAGGGGTGGTGAACAAAGATGAGTAAGTGTGCACCCAACTGGACAAGGGGCACCATGCTGGAAGCGGTGTGGCCCCTTGTGAGTGGGACTGATGTAATTTGGGGCCTTTGCTGCCGCTTTTCGAGGGTGGCCAGCCCTGCCCTGGGCTGTGGGAGCCTCCATCCCCACCTTCCCTGTGCAGCCGCCCCCGACCCCCCACCGTCGCCTCTTCCTGCTCAGACCCTCCCACTCCTCCCAGGTTCAAGCAGCTTCTCCTGACCCAGGCAGACAAGTTCTCTCCAGCTGAGGTGAGGCTTCCAGACTCCTTCAACACCTGTCCCCAGCACCTTTTCCAGGCCCTTAGCTGGCAGGGCATTGGGGAGACCTTGGTGACCCAGAGCCCAGCACCAATGTGGCAGTTGCCAAAAGGGTGACCTGGGCCTTTCTGGAGGAGGTGCCATCGGTGTTAAAACCTGGAGGGTGAAGATGTGGACTCAGAAAGAGAGGATGGTGTGCCAGGCAGGGGGACTATATGCAAAGACTCAGGGGTAAGAACATCTAGAAGACAAAAAGGAAAGGAGAGACCAACCTGGACAACTTGGCAAGACCTCGTCTCTACAGTTAAAAAAAAAAAAAAAGCTGGGTATGGTGATGCACACCTGTAGTTCCAGCTACTTGGAAAGCTGAAGCAGAAGAATTGCCTGAGCCCAGCAGGTTAAGAGGCTGCAGTGGCACACTCACTGCCCCACCCCCACCAGGGAAGTGGCAGCTGTGAGCGTGCCACTGCACTCTAGCCTGGATGACAGAGTGAGATTCCAACTCAAAAAGAAAAAAATCAAGAAGAGGTTCTGTAGACATGGGGTGGGGTAGGCCTGTTCCTGTGGCCAGGGTGGACCCTCTGACCCATGGTCCCCATTTGGGCCCACACTCCAGTCTGCTCAGTGTCGGCCAACAGAAAAACATTGACCTGGAGTTTGGGGTTTGGGTTTGAAAAGGCTAAGGTCCAATCACAGCACTAGAGGGCAGGGGTAAGGGTCACAGATTTCCCTCAGGTCACGTCTCTGCTGGGCAGTGTCTGGAGCCAGGGGCTGCCTCTCACCAGTGCCTCCCCCAGGTGGAGCAGCTGTTCGCCCTGACGCCCATGGACCTGGCAGGGAATATCGACTATAAGTCCCTGTGCTACATTATCACCCATGGAGATGAGAAAGAAGAATGAGGGGCAGGTACCACGCCCCCAGGGACACCTCAATAAACTCTCTTGCCAAAGTAGACTTGCAGTGGTGGCTTGTGTGTGACAGATGGGTGGGGACCAGCCAAGGGGATCCCAAGGGCCCATGCAGGTATTGCCATGATAATGACTACCACGCACATCCTGGGAACTGGCTGCTGACTCACTGACTCACCCCCACACTGCCAAGTGTAGTGTGAACTGTGATCATGCCCAGTGTGCAGAAGGATACTGAGGCACAGAGAGTGTGGGCATCTCTCTGAAGGCCATACCTCTGGGAGAGGAAATGGTGGGACTTACACCCACCTCCACCAGGTCCAGGAATGTGCCACAAAGTGGGCACTGCCCAGCTCCTCGAGGCTGTACAGAAAACAGGCTGCTTGCCGGGCGCTCAGCAAACTCTGCCCAACAGTCTGACGGTGGGCAATGGCCCTGTGGCCCCCCCAGCTGCACAGCCTCCCCTGGCCCACTGCCTACACCTCCTCCCAGGACACTGGCTCAGGTGGGCCTCCCTCCGTGCCAGTGTGGGGTTTGCTGGGCCCTGTGTGAAAGGTGCAGAGGAACCCATTGGAAAAAGCAGCCAACTTCTCATTGAAAATGCAAGCAAGGCACTGGGACGTGAGGGAAATGGACACTGAGGGAGTGACTGGCATATGTGCAGATTTTTAGAGAAAATACTCAGAAATTGGCTTCGTGTCTCATGAGCCCCTCATGCATGGTGAGAGGTAAAAGGGCCAGACAGCTGGAGGATAGGGAGAGGACTTCTCAGGAGAGAACTGTTAGTTCTCCATTCCCCACCTCAGCTGAGAAACGAGCTGGAGGAGAGGGTGACCCCATCATGGATATTGGAGGAGCAGTGGGGGACTTCCCAAAGTACCAGGCAGAGAGACTGAGGCAGAGACCAAGAAAGAGAGGCAGCGACAGCTCAGACCTCAAGCCTCAGCCAGACCCAGAGTGTTCGAAATCCTCCTCCTGCCGGGTCAGTGGAGTGAGAACGCCTCCTCTCCCTCCAACCTTGCAGTGGGGAGGTGGGAAGAGGTGAAAGATAGAGGGGCAGCGGACATACTCCCTTCCTGAAGGCCCCAAGAGGAAATACGTTTTCACTCAGAGAGGTGTTCAGTTTTGATTTTTATTTGGAACTTGACCATTTAATGAGTAAATTGAGACTTGAGATGTAAAGTGATCATAGCATTTTCTATTGCTTGTAAGGGATTACAAACGTCATGGAACTTTCATCCGAAGATCAGGCTGCAGCCCACAGCCCCTGAGCATGCATAATGAGACAGTGCATGAACAAAGCCAAGTCACTGTTAGAATACGATCACAAGTCTGCTTGTTCAACAAACTGACTTCATAAAGTAAGGGATAATTTTATAATCCCGGCCTGTACAGGGGAACGTTGTGAAAGACAGAAATGGACCCAAAAGATCATAGGTGTCTGGCTATCTGATTTGATGGAATCTCTGTACCTCTCATTGTCTTTGAGTTATTTCACCACTTGGTTAATTGCAAATAACTAATAGCAAGACACTGGTTCTTCTTCAAAGGCATGCAAAGAAATGTCCAGTGGAAGGACAATCGCTTTTTCCCTTCTCCTCTGTGGAAGAAGCCTGTTTTGCATCTATTAAGCAAATTCATCTCAGCATTTCTGACTGTCCACACATATACCTACTCTCTGAATTTGCCCCTGAACCCGTTGTCACATCTTATTGGTCCCCTAATGAATTCACAAATAAAGAAAATATTTGGCAGGTGTTCATTCCAGTTTGTATGTGAGTCATTATCTTTTTCTACTCCTGGCATAGATATCTGCATCAAAACTGTCTGTTAGTGTTGTCAGGAGTAAACTGAGAGCAGAGTGTGTGTGTGTGTGTGTGTGTGTGTGTGTGTGTGTGTGTGTGTGTCTGTCTGTCTGTATCTGTGTCAAAAGAGAAAGGATAGAGAGGAACAGAGATGGGCACAGACCTCAGACATGAGTTTAGCCTGTGCTACCCACTGACCACCCTAGGTTACTGAGCACTTGACATGTGGTCAGTGTGCATCAGGATGTACTGCAGAGTGTAAAGTGCACACCATATTTTGAAAATGTAGTACCAAAAAAATGCAAATATCTCATTGACAACTTTGATGTTGATTATATGTTGAAATAATACTCTGGCATGTTGGGTTAACTTAAAATATTACTAAAATTAATTTTAACTGCTTCTTTCACTTGTAAAATGTGGCACTAGAAAGTTTCAAATTCCACACATGACTCACGCTTCTGGATTCCATTCTAGTAGACAGCACTGAGTTAGGCTGTTTAATGTGTCCACTTAAGCCTGTAGTTTCTGGGAGAGTCCGAGGCAGTCTCTGGATTCAAACACACCAGCAATCTCTGCAGAGAGTGCTCCCAGCAGGGAGCAGTAGCTTTGACATTCTCAAAAGAAGCCAGTTTACTTTGGGTGGAGTTGTCTCTGAGTGTTCTCAAAGTACAGGCAGAAGGGAGGGAGGGCTGTTTCTAGAGAGCAGAGATCATGCAGATTCATTTGTGAGGCCAAACTTTTTATCCTGGTGAAGCCCAGGCACCCTTATGTAGAATGTCTAACAGTCTATACCTGAAGATGTTGGAGGAAGGCGGTGTGAGGTGGCAAGGCAAGGGAGATCCCCGGGAGGGTCTGGGGTGTTCTGTGTTGTCTATCTGCTAAGAGCTGAGCTCTCTCCAGGAGGGAGATGCACCTGGTCAGGCCTGCAGACCCCTGCGTGGTCTGGGCCTGGGTTCCTCCAGTCACTGCTAGGCAGCAGCTCCCAGGTGGAAAACAGACATAGAAATGCAACAGGACCTGAAAGGCTTGTGAACCTCTTACTGCGCCCAAGTTCTCTGTGCCTAGGGGACAGGTCTCCTCCATACTCCCACATCCTGCTACTCTGCACCCAAATTATTCATGGGGGTCCCCAAGGGAAGCCTCATCAGAAGGCTGCATGCAAACCCATCCCCCTCCCATCCTTCCTGTCTCACTGCTCACTGCTGTAGTGACACCCCTCAGAGCCAAGGTGCTTTCTCCAGATGTCCCAAAGGTCCTGGTCCTCAGAATCTGCATCCCAGATCCCCCACATGAATCCCTGCTTGGACCTAAGCCCCCTGACTGTGCATGTCTCTAGACCTTTTGCCTTCACTGAGACAGTGTCCAGAGACTTCCCATCTCCCTAGAGAGACTTCCTTCTGTTTATACCCCTCCTCCTTCTCTGCCACAGAACAGAAGCACTGTCCCATCAGCTCAACTTTCCCCTCCCCAGTCCCAACCCCAGTACCCCTGCAGGCCCTGGTTGCAAAGGCCCGAGGGAGTCTCTTCCCTACAGTGCAGGCCCTACCTGGGGGCTCTGAGTCAGTATCTGCAGTCTCAGGGATGGTCTCTAGCCAGGGCAGGGTCCAGCTATGCTGTCCAAGTGTCCTCACCCAGGCTTTGAGACATCAGGCAGAGACAGCCTTAAGGGTAAATACAAATTGAAAATAAAGGCTGGGCTCGGTGGCTCAGCCTTTAATCCCAGCACTTTGGGAGGCCGAGGTGAGTGGATTGTCTGAGACCAGGGGTTCAAGACCAGCCCGGACATCTTGGCGAGATCTCATCTCTACAATAAATCAAAAATTAGCCAGGCATGGTAGCGCGCGCCTGTAGTTCTGACTACTTGGAAGGCTGAGGCAGAAGGATCGCCTGAGCGCAGCAGGTCAGCACTGGGGTGGCCGTGAGTATGCCACTGCACCCCAGCCTGGGTGACTCCAACTCAAATAAATAAATAAATAAATGAGAAAGAGTTAATTCTCCCTGGTAGAAACAAAAAAAGAAAACAAAAACCAAAAACAGACTTTCCCCTTTCCCTTTTCTTTTCTTTTAAGTAGGAATTTATTAAGAGGAGAGGAAAGTTCCCGGCAGTGGGAGGGATCCCAAAGGGCTCCCCTCTTTCTCTTTTCTTAGAGCACTTTCTTTAGAAAATTTCTAAGTTCTTTCTTGGCCTCCTGTTATGTAAAAGCTAAATAAGCCTCTTGCCAGTTTCATGTGCCAGGAATGTCTCCTTAAGGACCTGGGAGCCATCATTTGAAATGTAATCACCAAGGGAGATATAGCCTTATCTTCCAATTTCCGTGGGAGGGTGGGAGCCTCGATTCAGCCAGGCGCCTCGTCCAAGTTGCAAACATACTTCCAGTCTTAAAGGTATGAGTCTAATTTTTCCTCTGGAGAAAGGCGATTAGCAAATCCAGGTGGCCACCCCAATTACCTGGGGATTTAGGGAGAACTGCATGTAACTAGTTGTGCTGGGGAGTCTTCTCACCTGAGCACTTGCCACGTTTCTCTCAAGAACACGGATGGGATGGGTTGCACCTGGCTGCACACAAGGAGAAGACGTCTGCCTTTGTAGTCTCTTAGTGGATTGTCTGTGGTAAGCATTGAGGTCTGTTTAATGCTATTCAATAGTTAAACTGTTTCCTTTCTCAGCTACTTTTGTGGAAAGGCTCTCTGCATTGGCAGCAGATTTTGTTCTTCATGATCTCCTCAACATGCCTGATGCTCCATCCCTCAAGAGCCTCAGCTTTGCCCCGGGAGGGTGTGGGGGCAAGTGCCCTGGGAGGGTGTGGAGGCAAATGTCTCCCAGGGACAGTGCTGGCCAAGCTGGCCCAGCAGCACAGCATGGGCTGCTCCCCAAAGGCTCCCACCAGTCAGCATGGGTCGGGCCCCTGTTGTGTTATATTTTCTGACCTTATTTTTTATTTTATTTTAAAGATGTGGAATACAATTCAGGATGAGGTATACAAATTGACCTTATTCTGCAACCCCGTTAGCCCCCTGCCTGGGCCCCAGTCCCTTCCCTGCCTCGACCCCTCAGCCCTCCCTCTCTGTACATTCTTTCTTGAGCCGAGTTAACACCACTGATAAGGTTAAAGACAGGCTTTTAAATTTCTGCCCCGGCATGAGAAATATGTGACCTGAATGCTTCTCCAGCTTAACTGTCCCATGTAACTGTCAGGGCCTGGTGGGCGCTTACTGGCCCACAGCCCAACTCA